GTGTAGGTGTATACCTGGGTCTGAGGCCACATTTGTTTTTCCTTAGCGATACCCAGATGATAACCCTCCTCTGAGTGATAATACTCTAGGAATGCTCCTGGATTAAGGTGGTCTTTTTTGCCTGGCATGGTGATATGCAGCCCAACAAAAAAGTCATACCCACGACTTGGGAAACTGAGCAGGAGGGTTACAAGTTCAAGGCCAGGTTGGGCAACATAGAGAAACCAGTTCTTAAAAACAGACGGTCTTTTAAAAGACTTTGGAGGGAACCAGCAGTTAGCGTAACGGCTATGTCACTGGACTCCCACATAGTCGACTGCAGTTCGAATCCCGGACCCGGTGACTTAAAACTCACGCCGGGCGCGTGTGCGTGCGTGCCCAAGATCCCGAGAGGAGAATGGAGGAGAAGGGATTGTGGTGTGACCATCCCCCCTGGGGGTGATTTCTCACTTTCTGTTTCTCTGTCTCTCTGTCTGTCTGGCGAGCGCAAACGCCCTATAGCAAAAACCTCTCCAAAAAAAAAAAAAAGACTTTGGAGACAGATTATCAAATCTCCTTCCACCTGACAGCCTAAGCTAGAAACAGATCTCTACATAAATGATGTTAATGCCAGGGACTGAGAGTCCCACCTAGCTTGGCCAGTCCTGAGCCGACCTGCCCTCCACTGTCTGCACTGCCAGAGTTATGGATCTCTGCATCAGCATGCGCACACAACATCACGACTGGCTGTACAAGTGATGTAGTTAATATAATAAAGGGTTTGGTGCAGTTAGTTTCCTCTTCTCCCTTAGTCTTTTCTCAGTTTTCTATTTGATAGAGAAATAACGTTAGGAGAATGTAAGAATTTAAATTGTCTGGGGCCAGCAGGTAGCATGGAGGGTAATGTGACTGGGTCCCTCATGGCCCATTTCACTGGGCATGTCTGGGTGCAGGCCTGAAACCCTGAGAGGAAAGTGGAGGAGAAGGGATTATAGTGTGGCCATCACCCCTGGGGGTTGATTTCTCACTTTCTCTCTCTTTCTCAGGTAATTGCACACGCCCTATAGAAAAAAAAAAAAAAAAATCTTAGTTTTTAAATGTGATAATTATAAATACACATCTTCGTGTTTAATGTGTCTGTCGTGTAATAGCAAAACTTCTACCTAATGTTCGTATTATGTATATAACTATAATGTGATATTAAATACCTATTACTATACTGCTTATTGCCAGTCCCTGGGCATTGTCTCATTTCACTCTCAAAGCAGCCCCGTGAGGTTACAGATGTGTCAGAATTGAATACTGCTTTGGATCATCTGTTTGAATGTAGACTTTGTGTAAGACTTAAAATGGAACTTACAGCAAGGCTTTTTTAAAGTTTATTTCTTCCATAAGAGAGAGACAGAGACGCAGAGAGAGGCACCTTTAACAGGGTCTTCACATTGTAGTCCATCCCAGTCTCAGCAGCCCGGATCGCAGCCAGGCATGTGTGCACCCAACATGCTCAGGGGCTCTGGGAGGTGCACCCAGGACTTTCCTAAGATTTATGTGGTTTTCTTTTTCAATTTGTCAGAAGGTACATGTGCGTGTGTGCTCGATAGATTGAGACAGAGCGAGAAAGTGAAAAGCACCACCCATGACGAATGGCCACGTCGCTGTCCTTTGTCTCCCATCTCTCCCTCCTTTTGGGATTTCAGGCATGTGCGCACATGAACCCAGTGTGTGCTCACCCGCTGGGTCCAGGACTCAAGCTGTATAGCCGGCCACGTGGGATCCAGCCACTTAAGCACCGCACCACTGCTGGTCCAAGAAAGTGTTTTAAAGACTCCCCTTCTAAACCGCTCTGCATTTCTGTACTTAGAGCTCTATGCCTAAGATTTATCAGAAACAAAACCAACAACTGTAATTTAGTGTCCTTGCCCACTCTAGTTCTGCAAGTTTTGTGAAGGCCAGAATCTTCTGTTCACAGTGAGTAAGGATGATCTTAAACTACTGTGAATGTTTTTCTTAGTTACTTGTGCTTTCGTATTTGTTTTTATTCAGGTGGAATTTTGATGATACAGTGACCCATTTCATCTACCAAGGACGGCCAAATGACAGCAATCGAGAGTATAAATCTGTAAAAGAAAGAGGAGTACACATTGTTTCTGAGCACTGGCTTTTAGATGTAAGCAATGCTCTTTTCCCCTCCCCTTTCTGTTCATTAAAAATGTATACGGAGGCCAGTCCCGTGGCCTACTGGGTAAGAGAACCAAATCCCATGGGGCCAGCTACATTGTTCAAATACCAGACCCCTCGGGGCTTGAAAAACATGCCAGGTACATACCGTGTGTGTCCAAATCACAACCAGATGGGGAGATGGAGATGGGATCGTGGTGTGATGACAGCGCCTTGAGGGGCGTCTCCCCTCCTTTCTCTCTCTGGCAAATGTGTGCACCCTCGGGCAAGTTGTTTTAAAACATTTTGTAACTGTTCAAATGTTTGCATAGAGAAAAAACTCAGACTCTGAGCTTACGTAAACAGGTTTGATGATGTCTTGTATTGCTGTGCACGCGTCATTGCTTTGGTGTAAATATTGTACTTGACAGATCTTTAATGGGTACTCTTTCTGATTCTCTTGATTCTTTACTAAATATGAATGAGAATTTTATGACAATATGAGGAGAATTAATGTTTAGCATACTAATACAGGTTAGACTGTGTTTCTTTTTTTTCCTGGGCATTCCCTGGACCATAATTAGACCTTGGTGAAAGCATAGAAATAGAATTAAGAGTTTATGCTTCAGTAGTTATGACATTTAAAAAGAGGACAAATTCTCGTTTGTGTGATGGGAACATTTCAGGGTAAATTACTTTTGAAAACTTTTTGGTGAACTTTTAACATCTTTGTAATATTGGGTTGTTGGAAAAGTCATGACACATTTTTTTTTTTTGCATAGAAATACATCATGACTTTTCCAGCAACCCAGTGTATTGGCCGTCCTTATCCAGCTTAATATCGTTTATTCACTAGAATTCGTTCAGTCCTGTTTAAAGCATGCCATTGTATTCCAGTGTGCCCAAGAATATAAACATCTTCCCGAATCTCTTTACCCACATACTTACAATCCCAAAATGAGTTTGGATATCAGTGCAGTGCAAGATGGCAGACCCCGGACCAGCTGCCTGCTCTTGCCTGTCTCTGCAGCCAAGGATGGCGAGGTAGGTGATGCAGAGGGTGCACTTACCTGTGACTAGACGTGTGGGTGTATAACCGTACATTGCTGTGAAACCTTACGCAGTGGCATGATTTGAGGAGTTGTCATTTTTCACTTTTGATAGCCAGATCATTTGCTTTTAGAAGAAAATGATATAGATGTTATGAGCACCAGTGATAAAGAATCAGCACCATCACATGGAAGTGGAAAAACTGACTCTAAAGGGGGTAAGTATGTTAAGTTACACATTTTTTTCAAATATATTTCCTGTAAAATATATGCTTTCTTTTGTCAAAGAAAATTTATTTAATTTATTAGTTTTTTATTTGTTTTTTTATCACATGAGTTTTGCCAGAGAAAGAGGGAGATGAGAAATCAAGCCGCCATGTCCGAATTCTAACACCTTAACCACCACACCACCTGCTAGCCTCATTCTATGCTGTCTTTATATCCGCTGGAAAAATAAAATTTTCTATGCTGCTAAATACAAGCAAGGCATATATTTGAGAATCAGTTCATGGTTTCATGCTGATCATAAAGTGATAATGTGTAAAGCTTTAAGTGACTTAAGTATGAAACTTGTGAAATTTATGAAACTGGATAATTTACAGAGTTGGTGTGGTATGACCTTATTCATTAAAGGTAGGTAGGAATTGGTGATTTTTTTTTTTGGAAAGGTTTTTGCTATAGGGCGCATGTGCTCGCTAGACAGACAGAGACAAAGAGACAGAAAGCGAGAAATCACCCCCCGGGGGGATGGTCACGCCGCAATCCCTTCTCCTCCATTCTCCTCTCAGGATCTTGGGCATGCACACACACGTGCCCAGCGTGAGTCTTAAGCCACCAGGTCCGGGACACAAATCACGGTCGACTACATGGGAGTCCAGCGACATAGCCATTATGCGAACTGCTGGTCCCAGGATTGGTGATTTTTTAAAAAGTTGTTTTTTGGGGGCCAACTAGTGGTGTGATTAAGGCAGCTAGATCCCCTATGACTGACTATGGTTCAAGTCCCAGACCCAGTGACTTTAGAAACATATGGGGCATTTGTATATGCAAATCAAAACCCTAAAAGAAGGGAGAGACCAAGGAAAGGGGGTTGCAGCTTGTCCATCCCCTCTGGGAGATGCCTTTTCACTTTCTCTCTCTGTTTCTTTCTCAAGCACGTGTACCCTCTGGCAAAAAGTTTTTTCAAAAATTGTTCTTCGATTCATTCTTTTTAGTGATTTCTTTCAAGAAGTTTTATTATGTGTGAAAATCTAGTTTAACATATGTACATGGTTTTTAAAGATACAAAGAGTATGAAGAGTCTCTCCCACCCTTACTCCTAGCCTCCCAATGTTACTAGTTCCTTGTATACCCTTCTAGAGCTGTTTTATGTGTTTGCAATCATAAATGGGCATTTTTCCCATCTTTTCTAACAGAAATATGTAAGTAGTAGACCTTTGTGCAGCCGTTTGAGACCTTGATCTTTCTGTTGAACAGTTCTACTTGGAGCATATTTCCTACTAGTAGATAAGGAGCTGCTTTTTTTTTTTTTTTTTTTTTGCAACTGTAGTATTCATTGTATGAATAACCAACCTGTATTTGGCCACCCTCTGTTGATGGGCATTTAGGTTATTTCTCATTTCTTGTTATAGTGTTGCACTGAGTAATTTTTATATGTAGGTGTCTTTGTTTTGCCATAGGGCACGCGTGCTGCAGGAGAAAGAGAAAAAGTGAGAAGTCACTCCCCAGGGTAATGGCCATGCCACAGTCCCTTCTCTGCTGTCCTCCTGTGATTTGGGGCTTGCACGGACATGCGGCTAGTGTGATTCCCTGACCTCCAGGCCCGGCACTCAAACCACAACCGGCCATGTGGGAGTCTAGCACTTTAACTACCATGCCACCTGCAGACCCTAGGAGTCCTCTTTTCAAAGATTGATATTTTCTATTTCCCTTACTCATTGTATTTTTATTTTCTATTTTCCTTACAGCTTTTTCTTATTTTATTAGTCCCACTCTGTTCATTCTAAAAATATTTATTTATTTTTATTTATTTATGTAGAGGATTTTGCCTTAGGGCATGTGCACTCATCAGAGAGAGAGAGACAGTGAGAGGGAAAGTGAGAAACCCGTTCCCCCCCAAGGGAAATGGCCACGCCACAGTCCCTTCTCCTTCATTCTCCTCCCAGGATCTTGGATATGCATGCACAAGGTACCAGTGTGAGTTTCAAGCTACCAGGTCTGAGACTCAGAACCTCAGTTGGTCACGTGGGAGTCCAGTGATGTAAATGCTACACCATCTGCTGGCGCCTAGCGATAGCTATTTAGTACCTACTCTAGTGATTAGTTTACAAAGTAATCAAAGATAAATATGTGTAGTCTGTTGTTTCAGAAATTGTTGGGGAAAATCAGGTAACACACAAATAGCTATGGTGCATCCCTGAGTTGTGAATACGACGAGAGAGGGTCAGAAGCAGACAGGGAGCTCTGCAGAAGGTTGCCATCCTGTAAGTCCTGGTGAGATCCCTTCCGAGGCCTTCCTGACTTTGAGACCGCGTCCTTGTGGTAAAGAGTGCCTTTCTGTTCTGCAGTATTCAGAGCCTTCTACCTTACTGTAGCCTATCGTGAGTATTTAGCACATGTTATGTCACATTTGTTTTTGGCCAGATCTAGACAAAATATATGTAAGATATGGGGAAGAAAGGACCAGCTGATGTGGTTGTTAAGGCAACTAGATCTCACATGGCCAACTGTGTGGTTTCAGTTTTGGACCCAGCAGCTTGAGAAACTCACAGAGCACGTGTCCTGCGCATTCCAGATCCTGAGCGGACAGAGGAGAAGAGACTGGTGCGGCCATCCTCCTGTCTCTCCCTTCTGTCTTTCTCTAGCTGAGCGTACATGCCCTATTTTTTTCTTTTTTTTTTTTTTAATGATGAAGAGAAGCTCACTTTGGGTATTTATGTTTATTTCCAGCTTTGACACAGGCCTTGGAGATGAGAGAGAACTTCCAAAAGCAGCTTCAGGAGATAATGTCTGCAACATCACTAGTGAGACCCCAAGGGCAGAGGACTTCTCTCTCAAGGAGTGGCTGTAACAGTGCTTCCTCAACGCCCGATAGTGCCCGCTCTGCTCGCAGTGGTCGAAGTAGAGTCCTAGAGGCACTGAGGTGTGTATCTGTCTCCGATGACAAGAAGACTGGATGACTTGAAAGGAAGGTCTTTTGTTTTCATTTGCCAGAGGGCATGTTTGCTCATGAGAAAGCACTCTCCATAGGGCATGGCTATGCTGCAGTCCCTTCTCCTTTTCAGGATTTTGGACCCAAATGCACAGCTATCTGGCTTGTTTGTCAAGTTACTGGTTCTAGGACTCGAACTCTACAATCAGTCATGTGGGTTCTGTCTCCCATAACTGAGGCCACAGGCTGGCCCAGAAGCTCCTTATGCCTGCTGGTGCAATTCCCTCAGTTAGGTTTATGAAGCACAAGTCTGGAGTAGCAATTTCTCCTTCCCAGCTTAGCTTCTTTCCCCCTCATGCTCCAAGTGGTTTTAGAATTCTTACTTGAGGGGCTGGCAGATGGCGTGGTGGTTAAGGGTGCTGGACTCCCACATGGCTGACTGTAGTTCGTGTCCCGGACCAGGCATCTTCCTTTCTTCCTCTCTCTCTCTCTCACTTTCTCACTTTCTCATTCTGTCCCTCTCTGGTCAAGTTGAAGTAAATAAGTAAATGAATAAATAAAGTAAAAACAAGAATTCTTACTCGCAGGCAGGAAACAGATGCAGAGGTTTGTCCTACTCCACGTTCCTGCTTCAGAGTGAGGCATGATTAATACTTCTTCCTTCTTCCCCTAAGGGAAAAAGACCCATTTGTCTCATTTGAAATGGACTCATTGGGCAGTCCTTTCTGTTCTGTAGTATCAATATGATATAGTACAAGGGGGCTTCAAAAAATCAGTGGGGAAATAGAGTTAAATTATTACTAGAACTACACGTGCACTTTATATTCTCTGAATTTATCTTCTAGGAAAGATGATTACAGATCTTAGTGGATGTGACAAGTTCAGTAGCATAAATTCACCTTGCTTCTGATAGAAGAAAAATCTCTAATTGTATGGTCTTTAAATGATTAATTGAACTGTATTTATCTTATGCTAACTTATTTTATGAGGCCTTTTTTTTGAAAAAATTCTCATTCTATAGGGTGTATGACCTTGCTGGAGAGAGAGAGAGAGAGAGAGAGAGAGAACCCCCTGGGGGCTTGGCCTGTCTGTTTTAAATTACCACTTCTATTCCTTAGGCAGTCTCGTCAAACGGTGCCCGATGTCAACACAGAGCCCTCCCAAAATGAACAGATCATTTGGGATGATCCTACAGCAAGGGAGGAAAGAGCAAGGCTCGCCAGCAATTTGCAGTGGCCTAGTTGTCCTACACAGTACTCTGAGCTTCAGGTTGACATTAAAAAATTGGAGGATTCTCCGTTCCAAGAGCCTTTACAGGGTCTAGGAATTGCTGAACAAGGTAAGGGGAGAGAATGTGTTCCCTTGTATGTGCATGTTGACCTCTTCAAAATAACAGGTAAGGGCGACGAGGTTCTCTTGAGTTGACTATGAAAACAAAACTTAGCAGATCTTTCTGATTTTGGTTTACACATAAGAGTAGGAAAAATCATTTTAAACAAGGTACTCTGTCAGTAATTTGAAATTATATTTTGGTCATTAAATTTGGAGGTTTAAAATGAAATATTCTTTCCAGACATAATTCTCCCCACCCATTGTCCTTTCAGTCTAGTGTTTTTGAATGTGTAAAGTTAATATTTGGATTTTCTTTGTGTTGTGAATTCTGCTCAGCACATTTGTTCTTGGATTGTATGAGTTCCTTTCTGAATTTCCTATTTTCTTCTTTGCCTCAAAAATGGAATGCTTCATATCTCTTTTTTTTTTAACCCCTTTCTCTTCTTTTTCTTATTCCAAGATCATTTCTCTACCCTAGATGTATAGATTTATCTCTGATTCTAATGAATTTTTTTCTAAGTGTGGAGTTGCTTTCATTTTTAGGTTACAAATCTTGGTTACACTTTATTGATAGAAGCTTGGTATTTAAAGAAAGGATTGGGAGGGACCAGCAGGTGGTATAGTAGCTAAGGCACTGGACTTCCACATGGCCAAGCACGGTTTGAGTCCCAGACCTGACAGCTTAGAAATCATACTGGGTGCGTGTGTGTGCGTGCCCAAATCCTGAGAGGAAAATGGAGGGGAGGGGATTGGGGTGTGGCCATCCTCTCTGGAGGGTGATTTCTTGCTTTTTCTCTCACTGTCTGTCTCTGGTGAGCGCACACTCCCCATGTCAAAAACGTTTTAAAAAAAATTAAAGGGTTCAGAGAAGCCCATGGGTAATACATTTGCCCGTTTAAAGCTAATGAATCACATTTATTTATAAACTACAGAAATAGAGACGTCTTTTGCTGTGCCTTTTACATTCTAGATTTTGCAATCACTTTCATCTTAACTAAGAGTGTTTCCTGGAATTGGTTCTTCATTGTATTTGGCTAATATTATACTGCAGCCTTTTATTGCCTTCAGCTGTCTGTGATCCTGGAAATGTGTGTGTGACTGAAGTCCCCAAACACCCCATCCCTGAAGAGCCAGGGACTCCGGTAAAAGATGGCCATCTGATCCCTACGCCTCAAGCCCCCAGTATTGCCTTCCCCCTGGCCAACCCACCTGTAGCTCCACACCCTGGAGAAAAGGTTTGTCGATCCTTGGGTCATATCGTCATGTTACATTGGAAACTTGCTGGTATCAATATTGAAGATTCCCCACATGTTGGAAACTGTATCTCTTTGCATTTTTAAAATTATTTATATGTTTGATCACTCAGAAGACCACTATAAAGGAAATGTACATGTGGTAACTTTTTTAATGTTAATATTTTCTAAAATAGAGCTCTTCTGTTCTAGATTACGACGATGGAGGAGAATTGTGAAGAATTGAAAAAACAGTACATATTTCAGTTGTCATCTCTGAATCCTCAAGAACGTATTGATTACTGTCACTTGATTGAAAAACTAGGTACCACTATTTCACTTAAACCAACAATGTGCCCAATCAGTACCTTATTTGGAAAGTCAAATGTAACCAACATTGATAACATTGTTAAGGTCTAGAAATCAAGAAACGATATGATTAACGTGGCTGGGATATAGATTGAGTCAGCCCTGGACCTTTGATTTTACGAAGCTTTCATCTAAATCTTCAGTCACCGTACTGAGCCCTCTGGTAGTGCAGTGGCTAAGCGCTGCGCAAGGTAGCCAGATCCCACACAGAGGTGGTTAGAGTCCGTGTTGCTGACTCGTTTGAATTGTGGCCCTGGTGGCTTGAAAGACATGCTGAGCATGAGTGCTCAGGATCCTGACAGTGAGGAGTGATTGAAGAATGGGAATTGCGCTGTGATCGAGCCCCGCTGGAGGGCGTGCTCTTTCTGTCTCTCTTGTGTATGCGCATGCCTTCTGACCCTCCCGCCCCCAAAAAAATTAGTCACTGGATCATGAAATTTATTTTATATTTTTAGAGTTTTTGTTTTGTTTTTCTATAGGGCGTGTGTGCTTGCTGGAGACAGGGAAAGTGAGAAATCACCCCCCCAGGGGGCGGGCCACACTGCAGTCCTCCTCCATTCTCTCAGGATTTGGGGTACGCACACACACACTCGCAGTGTGAATTTCAAGCTGCCAGGTCTGGGCTGGAACAACTCTGTGAGTCAGGTGCTTCAACGACTACACCTGCTGGCCCGAGATCATGATGAAAGACTAGAGATTTTTAAATTTCAAACTGAAGCCAGTAGTTAAGATTTAAGAACTCCCATGCTAGGGCCGGCTCCGTGGCATAGCAGTGATGTGCTGCTTGAGGGAAGGGGGTCCCAAGTGGCAACCTTTGTCTGGATCCCCAGACCCATTAGCCTAAGTGTTGACAGACTGGAGGAGTAGACGAAGGTGAAGGGGAGCACTCGTAGCCAGATCCTGTGTGGAGGGTTTGTGTCTCTCTCACACTCACTAGATTTAAAAAATGAGTCCCTTGTGCTGCTTTAGCTGCTTTACGAAACCTCAGATGAAGTCAGTGAAACAATTAGCTTAGAACGTAAATGAGTGAAGCTGAAAGTGTAGTACTACCCAAGGATACTTTTTTTTTCTTTCCCTCGGGATTTTGGCGTGCATGCCTACGTAGCCAGTGTAAGTTTTAATCGAAACTTGAACTGTGGTCGACTATGTGCGAGTCCCACTCCCATACTATGTTCTTACATAACTTATTTTATTTTTTTTTCTGAAAGGTGCATGTGCTAGACAGAGAGGGAAAACACCTCTCAGTGGGGTGTGCAATCTCATGCTGCAATCCCATCACCATTTCCCCATCCTATTGGGATTTTCGAGCATGCACATACTTGCCCCTGGCATGGTTTTCAAACCACCAGGGCTGGGATTTGGACCACAGTTGGCCACATGGGATCTGGATCCCTTCACCACAGGCCATAGGGTCATGTTATTCTTGTTCTCCTAATTGTCAGGCTGTCCACCTGAAGTCATTCTTGAAGCAGTGTCCTAGACGGGCCAGAACAGTAACCTGACGACGTGCTGTTGCAGCATTGTGCATTGTCCCACAGAAATAGAACATGACCCATGTGTGTCATTGAGTTTTCTGGGAGCCATATCTTTAAAAGTGTAAAAAAAAAAAATGGTGCAATTAATTTTAAACATGTATTTTATCTTTTCATGTACAAAACATTAGCATTCAGCATGTATTCAGTATAAAATATCAAAGAGCTATTTTCCTTTTTTGGTGCCGAGTCTCTGAGATCGGTACACGTTATACTTGTCAAACATCTCAATTCGGCCTAGCTGTGTCTGGTAGGTTTTATCTCCTTATGTTTCTGGGTCCCACCATATAGGACAAAACAATTCACAGAGTTACGGAAATTATAGTGAGAACTTAATCTGACGGCTCGATAGCGAGAAAACATAATGATTATTTTTATTAGTGGCTGTGAGTCATCAAGGAAGAGTGTTAGTGCTGTCCTTTGTAGGGTGTGAATAACTATGATATATATCATTTCTCGTGTTTTTTTTTTTTTTTGGTCTAACACACTTATATATTTGAGAACTGTTTCTTAGAAACTATTTACATAGAACATTTTGTTTCCCAGTGGCTTGAAAAATTAGTTGACCTTATTAGTCAGAATTGCTGCGCTTTACCCAGAAGTCACCAAGATGAAAGGCTTCAAGTATTTATCTCATAGAGCTTTTTACATTTCTGCAAACTCTGGGCAAGAGTAGTAGAGATTAAAGAGTTAATCTAAAAAAGGACAGCAAGCAGAGGCAGATGGTACAGATTTTGCTCTGATTTTTGGAGTCTGAGAGTTTCTGAGGTTTAAACCCAGAGAGACGTTATAGATGTTGTATCAGGGCCAGCAGGTGGCACAGTGGTTAGGGCACTGGACTCACATGGCCAACTGTGGTTCAGGTCCTGGATCTGGTGCTAAAACTTAGGTTGGGTAGGGTCTGGCAGGTGGCATGGTGACTACGGGTGCTAGACTCCCGTATGGCCAACTGTGATTTAAGTCCTAGGCCTGGTGGCTTGCTTTCTTTCTTTACCTCTCTTTTCCTATTCCTCTCTGATCAAAATTTAAAAAAATAAGTAAATAAATAAAATTAAATTAAATCATTCTTAAAAGAATTTAAAACAAACAAACAAAAAAAACTCATGCTGGGTGTGTGCCCAAAATCCCAGGAGAAAAATGGAGGAGAAGGGATTGTAACATGGCTGCCCCCTGGAAGGGGGTGATTTCTCAGTTTCCCTCTCACTCTCTCACTCTTGTCTCTCCGGCACATGCACATGCCCTGTGGTAAAAACCAAAAATAATAATAGATACTATGTGACCCTTTGTATTGTAAATGATGCACCTGTGGCTAGCTGATATGCATAAATAAATCAGTCTGTATTCTGAGTCACAGAATAAATTTGTTTTATAGTATGGAATTTTATCTTATACTTTTTTTTCTTCTGAAACATTTTTTAATTAATTAATTAATTTACATTCATTTCCCGAGCATTGTCAAAGCATACAAAATGTGATTTCCCATCCAGAATATACTTCATTGTGGTTCAATCATACATGTTATTGTCAATAATTTTCCATTTTTAGTTTCATATATATATATATGTATATATA